TTTTATTTCGAACTCAAAGTTTATCGATAAAGGCAGTTTAGTTCTATATTAAAAGAACACTTTCAAACGTTTTGCGAAGCGTTTGTGGTTGAATTTTACCTTAAATTGAAGCTTATATATTACGTATAATAACATACCTACTGTAATTACTTTAAAAGCCGATCGTTGTGTATAAATATGAAACAAGACAGCGTATTATTTCAGTGTTTCTTTATTGATTACACTTTTTATTATACTAAGCAAAGTTATTTGCATGGGAGAATTTGGAATCATTTTATTTCGAACTCAAAGTTTATCGATAAAGGCAGTTTAAAACGTTTTGCGAAGCGTTTGTGGTTGAATTTTACCTTAAATTCAAGCTTATATTACGTATAATAACATACCTAACATATATATGTTTAGGAAATTGATAATTTTGTAATTAAAAGTGATATTTATAGGGGATTTTTCATTTGTAAAAATATTCTTAAAAAATTATCGTGTTACCATGACAACTACTTAAAATACTTCACGTTCGGAAAATAAAATGGTTTTGTCAGCAAGGCGAGGGTTTCTGCATGCATGTATTTTAGTTAGTAATTTTAATATTATGTGAACCAAATATTTTTATGCAGACAATGTCTGTCCATACATTGTCATTATGCAAAAAAATACCATATAATAATCTAACTAGTATATCTCTTTATCTTAATATTGTAAACACTACAGTATTTACCCTTCATACCTCAAATTTGTAAATATCTTGTATATACCTTGTAAAACTTTTCTTCTGCATTTAATATTATCTTAAAAATTACTGTAAATAATAAAATAATCTAAATAGGACATGACTAGTGGCCTAGAAACAAAAGCCTGCAAAGGTTTCTAGTAGGTGCCCGAACCCGGGCAACGGAATTCGTTTTCTAAGCGACTTTTCGTGCCACAGAATACGGCCTAGTACAAATATAACGACGTTGTACATCAGCTGTTATTTTTCTTCCTTTATCATTTTTCTTTATGTTTTATTTGGGTCGCCAAAATAATTTTTCTGGAAAAATGTTTTTGGTAGTAGTCGGGCAGAATCCCGAAAAGTCGGGCAATTTTCTTTCCGCCCCCCTAATTTTTTCCTTCCGGTACGCCCATGAGTGAGGGCCAGGATTCCAACAGCTCAGTCCATCAAAAATGCTTACAAAGTACAAACAAATATAAGCCCAGGGCTTATATTCAGATGTTTACAATATTCATCTGGCCAAACATAATTTGTCAGAGTTTTATAAATCCCACAGTCATTAGAGTTGTAGTTCTAAAAGTATTTGTAGGAATGAAAGGTGTAAAATGAAACTTTGGGAGTTAAGAAACACAATTAATGCATTAATGAACAAGACTGTCCCCTTAAGAAGTAAAATTGCCTGCCATTAGAGGGTCTGAAAGTAAAATAACAAGCTTGGGTGCATGGCAGCCTAATGGGTTAACTTAATAGTTGACTGCAATAACCTGTTGTAGGCTTTAAAGTTGGTTTCAAACTAGGGCTTGTAAATGCCAGAACTCATATGTGAAAAATTGCACGAGTCAATTTATCTGACATGCCATAATGAACACATTTAATAGGTTGCATTGCACCCTACTTTATTATGTTACTTTGTCCAAGTGTCTAACACCAACAATTTCACTCGTCAACAGGAGAGTGCTGGCACTCAATGGGTTACCATATAAATGGCTACCTGAACAGTTGGGTTTGGGTTCTACTCTAAAGTAAATTTCCCTGTAATCGGATTGTGGGATATGTGACTCAATATTTCTTCAAAGTGTGTTCTAATGATACGTAATGTCACTATTTTATAAGCATAATGGACATTTCTCATTCAGGGTGATGTAAGTCATGTGGACAAGAGATTAATACAAGTTCTTTTGAATGTTCAAATCGCAAGAGTAGTGGTGTAGTGGTACACTAGCACTTGCCAGAACTAATTGGCAGAACTAACAATGACTATTCTCTATAACTTTGTGGATCAAAACCTGGAACAGCAAAAGAATAGCCTATGGAGCTACAAGTTATAATAATACTCTATTACATGTAACTTGATTGTACAGTTAGGTTTAATAATTATTAATTTAATCTAAAATAATACAAAATTAATCAAGAATTTGCATCTTTAATTTTCAAACATGTTGCTAGGTACTCAGTTTCAATGACAATGTCAGTAGCATGCACTCATTGTTGGAAATTTCTGCGTCTCTATTGTTTTGACAATATTGTCATGACCAATTTTGTTGTTTTGACTTTATTTTGACCAAGTCAGTCTGGTTAGTGTTTTGTATAGCCACAAAATATCCTCCCGGTATAACTGAGATGTTGCTTGTTCAAGTGAGATGTTGCCTTCTTCAAGTGAGATCTCTCTGAGCCAGTCAGGTTGTCCATACAAATTGAAAGGAATTTCCACTATAAAAATATAAAAATAACCACACGGTGAGGTCTCGGTTACTGGGCTAGCTGTCCGCACTAACAGCCCTTAATAACCTCAGGGACAGAAACATGGCAGAACTAGAAACAATTTAAAGGGGCAGTGTCACAGCGCTGATTGGCTAAAATAAACGGCGCAAAGAAACGTTTAAAATTAATGCTACATGATTGAAAAGATGCAGCAGCAGCCTTCAATTTTTAAAACAAAGCAAGGATGTCCTGCATAACGAAGGGATTATAAATAGTATATCGTATTTCACTCCTAACTTGATTAATTGTTGGCAGACAGTTTTTCAAGTTCGCGCATACTTTGGATGCGCAGTAGAACCGTGACACTGCCCCTTTGATAACTTAATATATACATGCAACAAACTATCAGAGAGGACATAAACTACAATCCTAGATATAAAACATGCCTTCTTACTTCTCAGATCTGCTGCCCCTAGCAGCTGAGCTCTGTCCTACAGACCTGCACCAGTTCAGCGAGTTCACCACAGGCTCATGCATATTAACAAAACCCTTGACTAAATATGTAAAACCTTAATTCCCAATTTAATATACTAGCCCATCATAGTTTCATCTCTTGATATACCTGTACTGTGCAACCATTTAATTTCGGGATTGAGGGATGAAATTATCGCGTAAAGTTACAGTAAATACAAAAAGGTTTTATATCTACAACCACACATAAATATTTGTGGCTTTAAAATTTCCTAAAAAATAAAGTCTACCACTTATTCCCAACATTTTTCAAGAATTACATGAAATACTAAAATAGTAATTTGAATTTTAAAATGTTTACCTGTTTATACTGACCATCTTCACTATCGTTGTCAAGACAAAAATGCAAATCACTTGTTTTGTCCGCCATCTTGAAAGCATTTTCTCCCAGGCGCTTCGCTCCGAATTTTTCCTTTCCCCCCACGCGTGTTCTCCCGCGCGCGCGTCACGCAACATCAAAGAGCCGGGGACGAGGCTGGTAAGGTATGTAATATGTTTACACATAACAATTTGTTGCGCCAATTTTAGGTTTTGTTAAATATACATAAATGTAAATACTGACAGTTTGTGATGTCATCATGATGTTTACCTCATTACAAGCAATTTGAAAATACCATTTACAGGTTCTACATCAGCCTAACCTGAAGTTCAGGCCCTAATTTGAAATAGGGCCTGACACAAAACCTGTCTAGACCGTGGGACGCCCACATGGTATTTTTAAACACAACATGCAATATGATTGACAAGTGTTATAGATTTCGTTACACAAAAAAATTATATTCTTATGAACATGTCCGCAGAGTGTGCATTTTGCTTTATAATTAAACTTAAAAATTCAAGGTACTTTTATATAAATAAGATTCAGACAAAGGTTTAATTAGTCAGTTCTGTGCACGGCTAGACTGCCAAGCTTTCTCAAGGTCTCAACTTGCTGGACTCGGATATTAGGGATAAACTTTATTAAAACGGGCTAACAACAGCAACAATGAAATTCTCAATCGTACCACGAAGAAGGCGATGTAGCTCAGAAAACAACGCCGGTAGGACCTGATATTAAAAATAAGACTTTTGCCGGCGAAGCCAGTTGGCAGAACGGCTTGGCTGTCAACATGAACAAGCTTTCGAATACATGACTAGTTTGGCTGTTCTTTCGGCGTCGTGTGTCCAAAATTCGTCCAAGATTTTGATAAAGCCCTTTCAAAATACTGTTTGTTTGATTTATTTTCTGCCATAAAGCATAAAAGAAAAAGAAATTCGAAGAAATCGATAATGGAATTTGTACGTGCGTTTGACCTTTATATTAATTGTCGCCTTGACCGAGCTATTTTTAAAACTGTTGTTTATTTAAACTGCAACCAATCAAAATCCTTCATGATGCTGATCAACCAATCAGATTTCCCGTCCACCAGGTGGACGGGAATCTCACACTTTAGATAGGTTTTGTGTCAGGCCCTATTCTGTGATTAGGGCCTGAACTTCAGGTTAACATCAGCCCAACAAATTGGTAAGTGTAAAAGGTTTTTGTTCTGGTTCTACCCAACCCCCACTCCACCCCCCACCCCACCCCTAAATTACCCAACCTAATTACCCATCATTATTAAGGCATCTATTTATTTATTGAAAATGCTCCACGCTGATTTGTTACCGTTGAGGTAATTATAACGTGATAATCACCTAAAGCGTTTTTCAAAATGGCGACAAGCCGTTTTTGTCACATTAAGTGACTAAGAAATGTGTATTTTAATTTTTTTCCAAATAATCACGTATGAAATTATACTAAAACAATTATTCACCTCGGCTCGGTGATTATCCAACCTCGTACCCAGGGTAATTTCTGCGCGCGCCACACATTAGCGGCCACACTTGAAATATAATGTAAATACTTTAAACACTTGAAATATAATGTAAATATATTTCAATTTCAAGTGTGGCCGCCAATGTGTGGCGCGCACAGAAATTACCCTGGGTAAGAGGTTGGGTGATTATCATGAATACACCTCGCCTTCGCTGAATAATTGTTAAATATGAATAAAAGTTATTGGTTGGAACCGTGAGGGACTTTTATAAAATTAAAAGTTAGCTTCTCAACATAGCATTGAGGAATTTGTTCGCCACTCTGTGTGACGTTCTTTGCAGAGCGACCTAGAAAAGTCCTCATTTTGACTGGGAACCTGATCTTTACTCCATCCCCGAGACGGTTGAAAAAGTAACTCCAGCTATTGGGTAGCTGACATCGTACAAAATCTTTAACATTGTATAATGTCCACTGCTTTTGTTCTGCAACTCTGCCAAGCCCATCAAAAAAAAAGTGAAAAACATCATGGCGAAACGGCACACAAATTCTCGGCATCGGTCCCTTGTGTCGGAGGGCATCCAAAACTTCTCTTCTTAAATTATCAACACAATCTTGTATAACATCTTGCAATGGCTTTGGCTTCTCAAAATACCTAGCATGCAGAGTATTAAATATGGTTAAAAAGTGTTTCAGAATTTTTAGGTTGGATATATTGCAGTATGGGTTATACAGAAAGCCTACAGTGCTTCGCACTTGCACCGATACATACACAAAAAGTAAGATAAACAAGGCGACGAAAATATATGTTCTCTTTCAAAATTAAAAGGGGGAGAGGGAAACATTTAAGTACTGATATTGCACACCTTAAAATATTCAATTGTATATACCTTAAACAAGCCGCAGATATGTGTTCCTCTGGTTCCCAGGTATTCTCAAAAGAGCTGTAGCCCTTCCATTTTACAAGATACTTGTTTCCCTGCAAATTAAGAATATAAAACTGTATATAAAAACTGATATGGAAAGGTTTTCAGACCTCACTATATGTAAACAACGTTCAATTTTACTATATATTTAATAACATTTAACCACATATCACAATAAAACAGCCGGTTCGGCACTGGCGCTAGCTTTGTTATATTTTCGCCATGTCTGCAGGCGTGAACTCTAAAAAGAAGGCGGGTTGTGGGCGTGCCACACTAGCTTCTGATTGGCGCGTTGTCTCTACGTCATTACTATCATTTATAATGTTAATATAAACCTGAACCGTTCGCTACACTCCCGAGGGTTAATGTTTGTACTAATATAACTATTAATAAACTTAAATCACGTTATTGTGTCACACAGTATCTTTACGATTGTTCTGACTTCGTAGGAAGTATTTAGTAACAACTGTACTCCTTGCGTTCGCCTTCAGCGGTTCCTTTGAAGAGGCATCCTCTTTCGTCTCTTCCGTCGTAGGATCCCTCGCGTGCGTTTCGTTCTTCTGTTTGCAACTCGACCGTATTTCTAGAGGAACAAGGTGTTGTATGGGTCTTCGTAACCATGTTGATTTTCCATTCTCTTGATTAACTACGCGTACCTTTGCCGCTCTAATAACACCGTCTTTACTGGGGAGTAATTCCTCCACCCTAGCTACCTTCCAAAATGATCGTGATGACTTGTCGTTCTTTAAAACTACGATCTCTCCTTCTTCTATCGCCAGCTTACGAGCCGCATCCGACGAAACCTTTGACCTTGATGACTCTCTTAAACTAGTGAGATACTCCGTTCTCCATTGCTTCGCAAACTGGTTTAAAAGCCTTTTGTGATACTTCTGCCGTCGAGTTAGGGATTGATTTGTACTGATCACTTCGAATTGCTTATCGTTTGGCGTTGTAGCGATGTTTCGACCATAGATCAACGATGCAGGTGTTAACGGATAAGACACGCCTTCTTCATCATCGTATACGTAAGTCATAGGTCGATTGTTCAGCGTAGCTTCAATCTCAATCAATAATGTGCGCATTTCTTCAAACGATAATGATGCTCGACCCACCGCCTTTTTCAGACAGCGTTTGACACATTTCACCATTCTTTCCCAGAAACCCCCTTGCCAGGGTGCCTTTTCCACGATGAACTCCCACGTGATTCCTTTGTTCGCCAAATACCGCTGAACTTCCATAGATCTCGTAATTCCCTTGACTTCTTTTGCAGCCGCTTTAAACGTTTTCGCGTTATCCGATAGTAACTTTGTCGGTAATCCTCTTCGAGCGGTGAATCTTCTAAATGATTGTAAGAATGTAGACACTGATAAATTTGGCACAAGTTCAAGGTGTAACGCTCTTGTTGACGCGCAGGTATAGAGACAAATGTACGCCTTTTGCAACTTTCGTTCTTTATCATCTTCACCTTCGGTCGTTAAATATAGTGGTCCAGCGAAGTCCATGCCGGTGTGAGCAAAAGGTGGATCATCGCTTACTCTACATGATGGTAGCTGGGCGAACTTTGGTGTACCGTATGGCTTCCCTTCGTGTTTTCTACATGTAACACATACTCCAATTACACGTTTAACGGCTTCTCGACCTCTTGGAATCCAATATACTTCGCGAATGCAGTTCAATGTTTCTTTGACACCGTTGTGATGGACGACTTCGTGACAGTTGCGAATTACAAGTTGCGTATAGAAATGTCGTGCAGGAAGAAGTATTGGCCGCTTTGTCGTCATGGGTAATGATGATTTATCTATTCGACCTTGGCATCGAATCGTACCTTCTTCGTCCAAGAATAAATCCAACTGTCTTACGAGCAGCGGTTCTTTCTTCGAAACTCCTTGGAGATATGACCTTTCGTCTTCGAAATTGCTTGCCTGTATGGTATTCACCCAAAGTTTTTCAGCTGCTCTTAGTTCATTCGCAGTTACTTCAATTGACACTGGCTGTCTCCTCGTTTTGTCACCGAATATCTTTAATAACGCTGTTACTCGTAAAAGTTGCTCTTTGGTACTGTACCGGTTGCAATCCATGATGGCTTCTACGTTAGGTGGGGTGATCGTAACATTGGCTAAAGCTCTCGTTATCGTTGGTTCAATCTTGGGCTTCGTGATTTCTGCGAACGCGCTCAGTTCGTCACTCTTCGTAGGTCCTGGTTCACTCGGCCAAGCCTCCTCGGTGCTTCGAATAAACTCTGGACCGTTCCACCACGTCGTATTCTTCGTTAACTCAATTCCGCGACTTCCTCGAGATGGCAAATCTGCGGGGTTTTGTTCGCCTGGGCAAAATCTCCAGGATTCTTTCTCGACAAGGTCCCGTATCTCTTGGACACGATGATTGACGTAAGATTTCCAAACTTTCTCGTTTCTGATCCAACACAAAACTGTGTAAGAATCAGTCCAACAAAATACTTCAGGAGTCGTGTTCAATGACGTTAGCCCTTTCTGGACAGAGTTCATCAATCGAGCTA